GGTTAGAGATATTTTGTATGTTGTTTTTGTTTAATAAATCCGCCTTTTGGATTATTCCCTGATGTGCCTGAGTTCTGTTATTTAGTGTCACTTTGAAAGGACACACATCCAGCATTGACATATAATTGTTCTTTCAATTTTTGATAAAGATTACAGTGAATTGAGATGTAACTTGGCCCACAGGTACGGTAGGACGCCCAGAGTAAGAACGTGTTGAAAGTTGGACATCAACTATTATGGATGATTTTTAATGAATTTTTGAAATTTCCATAATTGTAGTGTATTGGCTGTATTGAATTGAATATAAGTTTCCTTTAATTTCTGAGGAATTCTACAGTAAATCTGGATGAAACCTGGCACACAGGTACAGTAGGTGTCCCGGAGGAGGGATGTGTTGAAAGTTGGACAGCAACTACTCAGGATGACTTTTAATGAATTTCTGACATTTCCATAATTGTATTGACTGTATTGGGCTGTTTCATTGTAATTTGTGTGCGCGCATGTGCGTGCGACTGTTCGCGCGCGCACGTGCGCGCGGGTATGGGCTTTCAATCGGCACATAAAGCGAAAAGGCGCTACCGTAAAGACTGGTGTAAAAGCGCAAGGAAATTTATGCGGCGGATAAGAGGCGGCTGGCTTGACCGCGGCTCACAAATGACGGCTCACTTTACCGCGGTACAGAGAGGTGGGGAACGCTGCAAAGCTTGGCTCTGTGTAGATTCCCTCTACTGCAGGTACAGCTGATACAGACGCGGCAGCGTGGGGAGGAATAAGACACATGATGTTGGAGCAGAGACTGAAGAGAATATGATATCAACAGGACGCATCATCCCCCTGCCCTGTTCAGGTTTGAAGTCATCTCAACATTTTGGAGCCTGAATCTGATAGTTGGGATTATAGTGATGACACGGAGGAAAATGTCAAAATAGCAGAAGCAGCGAGCAAAAAGCTGCTTCAACGGCAATAAAACGTTTTCCTTTGATCAGCGAGAAGACTAATAATCATCTTCTACATTTTAATGCAAAGTAAATAAATGTGGTTCTTTACATTTTGGGATAGTTGCCTTGTTTCCTCTTTGTTTGAATCGAGATCTGGAATAATGTGGGCCTGAACTGGCACCAACAAATGTGTTCTGCTGTAACCCGCGAGCTGAGCGCTGATGTGTCGACACCTGTCACTGAAGTAAAACGTCACCACGTCCTGTCCTGCGGTTGGAATGGAGGCGGAGTCAACTGGTTCCGCTGACACCTGCCTACCTGTAAAACCCCAGTGCGTGTGTGTGTGTGTGTGTGTGTGTGTGTGTGTGTGTGTGTGTGTGTGAGAGAGAGAGAGAGAGAGAGAGAGAGAGCGCGCACGAACAGATTGATGACACCCTCTGGGGGCGGGGCTCCCGTGGTTTCTGTAACTAAAGGAAGTCCCTCCGTGGGCTCGCCCAGTACAGTTTCACCGCACCGCTCCCTGCGCAGGCATTCCCGACATTCTCCGCGCTCCCTGCTCTGCACCTGTCGGACAGGTGTGGCGGGTTGACTGAGCCGAGCTGCGGAGACACACAGCGCGCGCGGAGCCGTTCATGGTCACCTATGGGTGAGTGTCTGCGCAGAGCGTGCCCCTGCCTGCAGTCACTGTGGGAGAGGATCCTCACGGGCAAGAAGGCTCCTCAGCCAGCGGGAGCAGGAGGTGAAGAAGAGGATGGAGGAGGACGGAGAGGGACCTGCAGCGACGGGGAGCAGCCCCAGGCCCCGACGCCGCCCCCGAAGCCCCCGAAGGAGACCGCCTCCGAGGGTAGCTGCATCTACACAGCCATGTGGCCCTTCGAGTCCCGGCACCAGGAGGAGCTGTCCTTCCAGGAGGGAGACCTGTTCAGGGTGGTCAGCCGCAGCGGAGACTGGTGGACGGCGCGGAAGATCGACCGCAACGGGCACGTCGTGGCGCAGGGCATCGTCCCCAACAACTACCTGGCGAGGGCAGAGTCCATCAACGTGCAGCCGTGAGTGCAGCTTCCTCTGACGGCTCCCAGAGAGCAGCTCTGACCTCGGAGCTCCGAGGGCCATCCCGGTGTCCGCGATAGACAGAAGCACGTGAGCGGCGTGTCTGTAGTAGAGCAGGTGTTTAGAGGGAGCAGGACATTTCCAGGATCGTTTCGGGGGTAACACACCTGATCCAGCCCCGAGTGTAGACAGCTCAGGTGTCTCATCTGTGAGCCTCTCCTGTCCAACTCAGAGTTTACACTCAAACCCAACAGGAGCAAGGCTTCAGCACAAAGTGCGGCAGTAAAATCATCCATGATTTGATTTAATGCTGCAGCTGCAGGGGATTTAATGACCTCCACACTGGGGCACCTTTATTTACACAGCATCATATGATTCATCATAAAGTCAGTACAACAGGAAGACACTCAAGCTTCTAAATGTTTACACTGGAAATGTGACGCAGTGCAGCAGAGTGGTATTTCAAGAATGCACAAGTACATTCAGTGTATACCTTGAAAACGTGTCACAGTAATTTCCTATTAATATGTCACTGAACAGGTAAAGGTGTTGACAGGAAAGCTAGAAGATTTCCAGCTTAAAGGCAGAAATTCATTCACATTCAGAATCACGTTTTTTATTATGTTCACGAGGCTGCTGTGCCTCCAGCTGCAGATGCATAAATCAGGATGTGTACACTGAAAAAAGGCGGCTGGCCAGCTCGTGGATTTATGTAAGCATCGTGTATTTAACACAAGTGCCTCATGCTTTAACGTTAAGTGTAACTATATAGTGTAGAAACTACATAATATGCAGAGCTAGATTAACTTGTTCATATCATGTTTGAGTGAAGTCAATAATATCGCAATATGAAATCCCGCGACACCGGGATTTCAGTCTCGCGCGCTTTGGTTTGAGGAAGACGTCCGCCTCAGTCAAGTCGAGTAGCCGCCTCTACTTTTTTTGGTTTACCGAAAAAAGGACATTGGGTGGTTGTTACATTAGAAAAGACTAACTTGTAATTTGAACACAAAAATTTCATGTTTCTTGAACGTAATTGAATCACGTAGGATCTGTACGAAATTCAACAACTTAATTTATTCTTGTTGAGATGACCTGATACAATCTAGTAAGAGTGGTTCGTTGCTGGACTCATGAAATTCGCAAAATCACATGAGATGTCAAACTGCAGGAAACTCACTGGAGTTATAAGAGGCAGACAACTACACACCCACCACGTGTTTGCTGCTTACTGTGGTTTAACCTGTCAAGGGCAAAAACGTAAAGAAAATTCTGCATCAAGCCTTGAAATCATAGCTTTCCTACTTTTGATGAGCCTGCATTGGTGGCATGGTGCTTAGTGCTGCTGTCTCCCAGTAAGAAGGTCCTGGTTCAAACCCACAATCTGGCACAAATGGTTGTTTGTCTCTATGTGATAGACTGGTGAGCTGTCCGGGCTGTACCCTGCCCTGTAGCTATCACTTCAGGGTTATTACCAGCCCCCCTGCGACCAGGATAAAGACCAGGATGGTAGTTGTTGTAGATCCATTCACTTTTTATGGTAACCAGACTCTAGACTTTGTTGAACATTATGTAATATGAAGACAACGTGTAGTATTTAAGTGACCAACTAGTACTGGGTTAAAAGTTATTGAATAGTGTTGAAATAAAATGACATTGTGGAGGATTAAAATATTCCAAGAGCTCAATTTACTCCATCTAAACATGTTTCAATCGCCTTTTATGAACACAAAATTGATTGAATATGAATAAGTTGTGTTGATTTAACTTGTTTGTTTGTTTGCGTGCGACCAATGTCCACTATTGAATCAAGTAAATCCAACATGGCCTTTCTTTCAGTGTAACACCTTTATTATCAGCCAGAGTCCACACTGTCCACCTACCTGCCAGGAACTCGCAGCACTGTAAACGCTTCCTTTAACCTTTATCACACATTTATCCTTTATCGCATTAGTAAAACTGAGGTAAGCAGTGAAGCAGAGCGCTGTAAAAAGACACTTTGGGAGTCAAACGGTTGTTTTCTACTGCAGTGAAGTGTGCATGTGCGTCCTGTTTACAGCTCTGCCTAAAAGTGGAAGTTTCTGTAAGTTCTGCTTTCCTGTCACTTCTGTGAAAAGATGCAGGCAGTCAGCATGGGGGGTTAAACAGCAGCCCCGCTAATCAGACGCTTTAGGTCACCGGTGTCCTCGAGGGCCGCAGTCCTGAAACTTTTCCATGTGTCCCTGTTGCAGCACACCTGGATACAATTAGTAGGTCATTAGCCCGACTCTACAGAACTGCATGCTGAGGTGCAGTTCAGCCACTTCATTCATGTTACAGCAGCTCATGACTGACCGAACACGGTGCAATAAAAGTACTTTTTTACAAACACTTATATTTAAATTTACTTGAGTAGGGTTCGGGGTTGCCACCTCGGCATGCAGTCAGGTTCCATAGAGTCTTGGTAATGACCTACTAATTGTATCCAGGTGTGTTGCAGCAGGGACACATGAGCTGTGTCCCAAAACGTCGGCTGCGTCCTTCGAAGGGCCGGCCTTCGCGGTCTATGTGGGCCGGGTCCTTCGAAGACCGAGAAGGCCGGAAGTGTGAGGCTGTGAAATGGGACGGTCCAGCCTTCAGATCTGCGTCACCGCTGCGTGGGTGGAGTTTAATAAACTCGCCGTCTGCTCCTTGCTGTCTAAAATATAACAGGACACTGGAGGAAACTCTCGACCGTCTCACACTTCTGTTTAATCAGTTTTCTGTTTGACGTTTATTCAGCTGTGTGAAACTCCCGGAGGAACCCACCCGATGGATTAATAAAGTTTTATTTAATCTAATAACTTTGATCTCAGCCAAACCGATTTACTCTGGAACAAACAAAACACTGAAAAAAGGCGAACAATTACATTTTTAAGTTCTCCGAGTGACTTATATCATGTTTAACCTGAGTAGCGACAGAGCGGGGGTCTGAAAACGATGAAGCCGGGAGTCCGCTGCTCTCGCCAGCTGGAGTGACCATTGAACCCCCCGGCTTGCTATCAAGCGGGTGGGTAACAGACGTCTCCAAAGACGTCGGCGCACACTTTTGCAAATATGCGATGTCTTGATAAACTGAGCAGATATTTGATGTTTACACAGCTACTTTCTCCCCTTAATATATGTTAAAAGTTTATTTTGTGGCCAGAAAGATTAATGAGAATAATTTTAAAACTCAGTAGCAGCCGCCATTGTTGGAAACTGGAATTGGCTGGTCTGTGCTATGAATTCTGGGATATGGTGGGCCACGAAGGACACACCTGACCCATCCTTCAAATTCAGGGAAAAGGAGGACGCATTTGAAGGAGTCGACGCATTTGAAGGAGTCGACGACTTGGGACAGCCTTCGTCGCCTGGCTTTGACGTAATCGGCCTTCAAATGCGGCCTCCGGAGGATGCAGCCGACGTGTTGGGACAGCTATGGAAAAGCTTCAGGACAGCGGCCCTCGAGGACTGGATTTTGACAGCTCTGCTTTAGATGAAAAAATGAACAGTTCACATTATGAAGGTTAAATGTTATTAATGCTCAGCTTTTTAACATTTGATATGAATATTTGGATGCTGTTTATCATGTTTTTGACCTTTTAAAAAACACAAAAACTGAAGCTTCAAAAGCTGCAATTCCTGTAACGTCCAGCAGGGGCTCCAGCGAGTCTCTCATGTTAACACTTTGCAGCAGAAACAAACATGTTTGCAGCCTGATGCACAAACTTGTTGGTCCCTGGAGATATTTTGTTCTTCGAGTTTGCATTAATGAGGCGTGGCCTCATTGACTGACAGGTGGAGGTGACACAGGCGGCTGTAGCTGTTAGCTGTCTGCTAGGCTTTTAGTCGGACCTCTGAGTTATTAATGACATCATGTGACCAGTATTATGGCTGCTGTGAGGTTACAGTACTAACAGCACATCCAAGAAGGCGGAGCTCCAAGTTTGCAGAGTGAAATTCTAGTATTTTGATTGGATGTTATGGATCAGCAGGTGTCTGAGTGATGCTCCCATAGAGTCTGTGCTGCCCCAGATAGCATCAGCTGATAACCTAGCGCTCCACCCACTCATCCAAACGTGTTCACCTTTGGAAATGGACTGAGACTTCAAAATGTGAACGTATAAACAAGTTACATCCATCTTCCATTTACAGTGTGATAAAACCCCAGCGAGCTGCTCGTCTTTATAACGTCGCACTTTGTGCTGCTCGTTTATTTTTGTGGTTGCGGCAGCTTTATTGATCCTGACTGAGCCGTACGCTGTGAGCACCATGAGAAATGTCACAGCTTTACATCACACCAGCCCGTGTTTGTGTTTCAGCTGTGATGCAAACTGGGACGCACACACCGACGGTCAGCTCACCACTTCTCGTTTTGCCGTTCTCACTCACAGTTTATTGCTTCAGCAGAATGGGAAGTGTGCAAAGTGTGGCTATTCCCGTATGTCACCAGCTGCTCCGTTTAATTATAGAGCTTCTCTGCTCTCCCAATAAACCCTCAGTACTGACTTTACCATCACTATATCCTGCAAGGGCACAAAGCAAAGATGTGCGACCTTCAAAACCTGAAACTGTCACACGGCTCTCAGATTAAATAATGTTTCACAGCCAAAGCTTAGAGCCGTGAGGTCAAACAGCATGCAGTCCAAACCAGAGTGTGAAAGGAACACAACACGTGGACATGAATAGATAATTTTGTTTAAAGCATGAACGGCATGTGTACAAATTTAGGTTATCATTCCTCGGCAAAGCCTTCCAGCTCGCAGCTGAGCAGCATATTTTCACTCATGTGGTTTATTTGGTTTTTCCTAGCAGAGCTGCAGCCAAACATCAGTTTCATTATTGATTCATGTCCTGGTTATTTTAATCAGACTCAGAACAAATCAAATAAAAAATGTCTCGCTTGAATCTCGGAAAGTTTCGGTCCAAACCTAAAGGCCGATTCTCACCTCAGAAAGTACTGTTCGCTTTTCTGGCTGACTGAACAGAAAGCAGAGGCCATTCAAACTGGATTAGCTTTGGCTCAGATCCATTAAAGGTTCCAGTAAATGATCGTGGTGAACTCTTTCCCAACACTGAGAAACTGGAAGAAGCTAAATGGAATGCAGCCAGTGGCAAAATGTTTAGAAATCAAATCCTAGCTGATATCAAACACTGTTCAATGTGAGGGCCCGTCAGTGGCCCAGGCAGCTGTTACACGATCAGCAATCATCCTTCTGCTGGAGTGTCTGTGCAGCTCAAACGCAGGCTCTGTCACATGACCCTGCTGTATGCTCTGTATGTTGTCCAGCAGCTCAGGGAGCAGTGTGTACACCGTATACCCGTGGGTCGGTAAAGCTCACCTGGACATGATAGAATAGAATAATCCTTTAATTGTCCCACAAGTGGAAATTTGGTTGCAAAAAAAACACATACAAACAGGACAGGACACCGGTATTTACCAAAGCAGAGTACTGCACAGTTATTAAGATTAAATTACAGATAAGTGGCAAACCCAGGTTGTAGTGTGCAAACAGAGCAGGATACTGAACGATGTTTAAATAGTTAAGAATATCTAGAATCATTAGAAGAGTGCAGATTGTGTGATTGTACCTGTGCATTAAAAAGTAGACATGTAACTTCCAAAAAGTTGGCGTATATAAACTGAGAAAAGTAATGTGCAAGTTGTAACAGTAGAAGTTGTTTGGTTGGTGGAAATTGCAGCGCTGACGTAAACATCTGTGTTTGCTGGGAGCAGTTTTGATTGACGATGCTATCGAGCTCAAAGTTACAGTTAGCTGGCTAACGCCCTCATGCTAGCTGTAGAAAGTTAATGTCAGTTACTCGCCTTAGACCGGGCAGCGTTCGATAAGTGGAGAGTCCTCTTCACACACTGAGGTTAATTATGGAGTTCCACAGGGTTCAGTGCTAGGACCGGTTCGGTTTACTAGAGCTGCCACGATTAGTCGACTATCAAAATTTAATTTAATAGTCGACGCGTCGTTTGACGCTTTGTAAGATCCTGAAAGACGCAGGAATAAGCAGTAAGATTTAAGAGTGTAAGACTGAAACAGAAGATGGCAGCACTGCATGTACAAGGACCAGCTGCCATTAAACACTGAAGAAGAAGGAGCTGTCTCCAGTATCGTCCGGTCTCAGACGAGCACGGTCGTTTTATTTTGTAAAGCTGTTTACTTTAAGAACACGGGGTGCTGTTGGAGGAGGTGCTCAGTCTCTACAATCCAGCTCATAGCGATGCCTCTTTAAGACCACCGAACTCTACGTTACAACCCAAACATAGTTTTACTCAAACTCTGTTTTCCTGAATCTTTCGAATAATAAGAAGGTAATAATAAACACCAGGGTCCGGTCCAAACAGTAAACTGACACACCTCATCTCAAGTGTTTACATCCTGCAGGAGTTTAAAATTTATTGTTGTGTAAATTTTTAACTCAGTCAAGTGAGAAACTAAGGCCACCTCTCCACGCCCACAGCATGAAGCAGAGGTTTCTGCAGTGTGCAGGTCTGAAACATTCAGGTGTGTTAACACAACAGTCTTCACAGGAGTAGGTTAAAGGTTAAAGGGCATGACAACACAGTTGGAAACAAACTGAATGACTGTAGCTGTTTGGAAGTGCTGCAGGAGCACGGCTTAGGTTTGTAAAGCTGCATCTGTACAAAGGAGGAACCCAAACACCTCCTCGGCGGACCGTGGACTCCTCTGTACCACTGTGTGCTGGAGTCAGTGTGAGGCCGTCTGTCCCACAGCCTGGACCAAACTGGCTCATCAGCAGGACAACGATCCAAGCGCAGCAGCAAATCTCCAACTGAACGGCTGCGACGGTCCGAAGTGCAGAGCTCAGAGAGCTGTGCATGAACGAATGCTGCAGACCTCAATGAGCTGAAACAGGAGTGTCTTTGTCTGCACTCTTTATTACCACAGACTCAAATCTGCAACCGTAAAAATGAAAAGATGCAAATGATGCAAACAAAGCCGTCGGAAACTGTTGTCACTGTGGTTGGACGTGGACGGTAGTTCTGACTGTTTACTTCTGTTCATTGTTATGGTCGCAGATTTGAACCTGTGACGACAGACTGCAGAGGAATCATGCATCCTCTCCTCTTTAAAGACATGTTTTAATTGACTGAGCTTTCAGCCTCAGGTCACTGCCGCAGGTTTAATGAGAGCCCAATGTTAGCTAGCATCTGTCCGTGCTGTACAACATCAGGCGGAAGGTTTGAACCTGCACAGCAAGCTCCTGATAATTATCTTTCTGTCTCGATCCAGATGGTTTTATGGGAAGCTGAGCCGCTTTGAGGCCCAAAATCACCTGATGGCCCCAGGAAACGAAGAGGGAGCCTTCCTCGTCCGACAAAGCGAGAAAGACGACATCGGATACGTCCTGTCAGGTAAGTGGACAGGGAGGGCCTTCACAAGCACGAGGAGGGGCTACAGAAAACCCCAACGGAGGCTCTAACGAATCCTCCTCATGTCAGCACTGAGATGATGCAGTGAACATGTGCTCCAAAGGTGGATACTGTCGACAGGTAACAGGTTGAATCAGCCAATAAAAACCAGGCCTAGCAGAGACAGCGTTAAACGGGCTGTGATTTTGACACTTTTTCACCTGAGCCAGGTGAGTCTCTGGGTTCATCAGGGAGCTGATTGGTTAATCGTTTCTGCAGCCGGCGCTGCAGTGTTCATTATAACTGAGATTATCACTGAGAGCTGTGCTTTTTCCACTGATGTTTAGTTTGTTTTCTGAGGTCATGACAGCAGAAATAAAAAATAACCGTAGCAATAAAAATGAGGTCTCGTGTCCTGTTGAGACTCGTCTCTGAATCCGTCCGTCTTCCTGTAGTGCGATCCGGCAGCCGCGTGAAGCACTTCAAGATCCACCAAGGAGATGATGGTTTCCACATCGAGCCCAAGCATCATTTCAGCTCGCTGATCGACGTGGTCGACTTTTACTGCGCCAACAGCCTCAACACCACCGGCCAGCTGGGCAAGCCCTGCAAGAAGGTGAGTCTTCATACCGCCATCATTTATTCGCTCCTCTTGTGTCTGTGACGGGGCCGCTGGTAGGGAGCAGCCTTTAGTTTTGCATGGATGTGAATGTCTGAGGTGCACGCTTCTGTTTCCTCCATCAGAAAAGGCCAGAAACCCAGGATTTGAACCACTTCACGGTGGACGAGTGGGAGCTCCCGAAGGAGGAGTTCACGCTGGAGGAGGAGCTGGGCAGCGGCTTCTTTGCTGATGTTTACCGCGGCCGCTGGAAAAACCACATCAGCGTCGCCATCAAGATCCTGAAAAGCGGTATTTTATTTTCTGCTGCTCACAAACACAAGTCTGCTCAAATGCTTTCACGCCGTCATTAGCCCCGCCCCCGCCATTCATTCAGTGCTGTAACATGACTGAAAACATTAAACACGGCTGTGGAAACACTGAGGACAGCACGCTGACCCTCATGCAGACAGCACATTACAAACGAAACACACGGTGAAGAATTTTATTTCTGTCATGAGGAAGTGAGAGTTTTCCTTCCTCCGGAAACAGCAGCACCTCCGGCCAATAAGACATCATAAGGATGGAGAGAAACTCAAAGACAAATGTGAACACATGCTGAACGATGCCTCTGATGCTTTCACAGACACACAAGTTGGTTTTGTTTTTTGTCCATCCAACAACCCAAAACCCACAGAAAATTACACTCAGGTGGACAGAAAAGACAAAAAAGTCATCAAATAGTCTGCAGCTCCAGAAATGCGTCTTCTTCCAGCTGCAGATGCCTCCCTCGATGTGATTGGACCACAGGCCCGGTCTCATTCCTGGGCATCGGATAAATGTGCGTCACGCCGCAGTCGGAGCCTCTGAACCTGCAGGGTTACCGTAGTGCCCGCATCTCACCTGCAAGGCCAAGAGTAACAATGTAGTGTGGCCAAAATAGGAAGAAAATGGGAAAGGGCCCCAGCGTGGAAACTCACCCGGCGTGTGAATAATGGCATCGTACAGGCTGAAAGAGACGGAATTACATGCTGCCGCAATAAAAACGTGTCACCTGACTTTAAACGTGATCCGAAGGTCAGCCTGATCAGCTCAACGCGGGGCGCAAGGACACCCGACGCAGGTTTACACGTGAGGGCATGAGCGCGGGAGCAGGAGCGCGGGAGCAGGAGCAGGAGCAGGAGCGCG